ATACTGACAAGAGCCAGATATAGCTGTCTCCTTAGAGGTCTGCCATAGTCTGACATACTCAGAGGCAGATGCTCACAGCTAACCATTGCTCTGATCAAGTGGTTTCCAATGAAGGAGTTAGAGAGAAGACTGAAGAATCTGAAAGGGTTGGTGGCCCCATGAGGAAAGCAACAACAACACTGGATGATTTTAACTGCTTTGTCAAAGATCAAGTGCCCATAGGTAGGAGTGGCTGGGTTAATGTACAAACATCCTCATAGAAGTAGGGGCAGGGAGAGAATTCCAGCAGGGGGAAATAAGAAAGGGGAAAACATTTGAAATGTAAATAAAGAAAATATCTAAGGGAAAAAAAGAAAGGAAAGAAACATCAAGGAAAACAACATAAGCCTGGAATAAAACCATGAATAGGAGATGATCTTCATTTTAAACTACTAAATGTATCCATTAGACTCTGAAAATTATGAAACCATGTAAGTAGAAGCCAAGTCATTTTTAAATCTCAACCATACTTCAGGTAATCAGAAAAGGGATAAATATTCTAAGATGGCATTGGACCCTGTTCTTATGACCAGGTTTTATTACAAATCTTATGAAGTCACTATGATTTGCATAAGTACTTCTTCTTCTCAGTGTTCCTGTGCCTTAGAGTAATATAAGAAGTTCTTTCTCACAGGTATGTCATGAGTCACACAAACTCAGGGAAAATTTGAAGATGGTGTCCATACCTCAGTTCCTTGGACTTCTGCTATTCTGGATTTCAGGTATTACTGCTTGGACATGGCAATAAAGTGGAAATATTATTTAAATGTGAAATTTTCCTGCTTTATTCAGCAGCCAGCACCACATGGGATTTGACTTCCTATTTAAAGAAACTGACACAATGAAAGGCTTTTATTTTTCTAAGTAGATTAGAAGTGTCTTTCATATTCAATGCTGTGTCCTACTAATATTTTTTCTATTTTTGCAGCATCCAGAGGTGACATTGTAATGACTCAGTCTCCAGCCACCCTCTCTGTGAATCCAGGAGAGAGTATCAGTCTCTCCTGCAGGGCCAGCCAGAGTGTTAGCAACAACCTACACTGGTATCAGCAAAAATCACATGGGTCTCCAAGGCTTCTCATCAAGTATGCTTCCCAGACCATCTCTGGGATCCCCTCCAGGTTCAGTGGCAGTGGATCAGGGACAGATTTCACTCTCAGTATTAACAGTGTGGACCCAGATGATTTTGGAATGTATTACTGTCAACAAAGTAACAACTGGCCTCTCACAGTGATACAGACCATAGCAAAAACCACTAGGAAAGCAGAAGTGTGAGGTTAGGCTGCTTTAGCTATTTCTGTAAGTTCCTCAATCTTCTTCAAAGTGTTTCTCAGATGCAGCTAGGTATGAATTTAGAGAAATATGTGGGATGAAAAAGTCCCAAATTTCTGCTTGACTTTGGATTTCCTTCACTGTATTTTAGCAGGAGAATACATAGCCTACAGTTTTTCTTGTGTAATCAATCATCTTTCAGTGTATAGCAACCAGAAAAACTTTTATCCTGGATGTACAGAAAAAATGATTGATTATTCTATACCCTTATAATTGTTGGAAATTCAGATGAGGCATAGTCTAAATATATAGCAAATTGTTTACTCCTGTCCCACAAAGACAAGAGAGCTTTTACTCAGATATTCATGACTCTAGTGCAAAGTTCCCTATGCATATTTTATAATAGGTAAACAGCCCTTGAAGATAAGGTATTTTTCATGTTTATGGATTTATATAAATTGTTGAATTGAATTTGGAAAAATTGCAAATTTCATGATGAGATGTTTATATCTGCTATTCTACTGACAAAAAAAATCAAAGAGATTGAAACAACAAAACTATATTTGTCAACTGAAGTTTCTACAAATGTCTGGACTTATTTCAGAAGAGTAACAATATGAAGGTCAAAAAAGAATCATGGATGATATCCTAGCATTTTGATTCACTTATGTGTCCATAAAATTTTATGAAAATAGAAGATGGTGTAGGTTTACCATTGTATTTGAAAAATATGAGTGAAATATTTATAGGTGCCAGGACAGAGGTTTTGAAAAGGAAATTAACAATGCTGATAATTTTTGCTAAGTATGAAAATAAATCTAACATATGTCTTGATGATTTGACAAGTAGAAAGGACATTGCAAAAAAGAAACTTCAAGCCTTTAATAAGAGGGCCTTCATCAAGGATTGTATATAATAGGGTAGGGCTTGCTAGTAAAACAATAGTTCTATAAAAGTGATTAAGAATTTAAAATTCGATTGCGTGTGCTAGTTATGTCTTTAAATACAGCATTTGTGATTTGGATCCCGGGTTATCTCCAAGAATTCAAATCAACTCTGGTTTACATAGTAAGATCCAGGCCAGTCATGGTTACATAGTAAGAACCTGCCTGAAAAACAAAGACAAATTTTGATACTGTCACTGTGCCTTCTGGTTTCTCTGGCTAAAGATTTATCTATCTTGTTGATTTTCTCAAAGAACACATAGAACCAAATAACCCTATAAAATAATCAAGTACAGAGCTAAATAAAAAAATAAAAATAAATAAAAATAAAAAAAATTAAAAGAGCTAAATAAAAAATTCTCAACTGAGGAATATCAAGTGGCCAAAAAGCACTTAAGGAAATGTTCAACATCCTTTGTCATCAAATGCAAATCTAAACAACCATGAGATTTCACCTCATACTAGTCAGCATGGCTAAAATAAAAAACTCAGGTGACAGCAGATGCTAGTGAGTATGTGGAGAAAGAGGAACACTCCTCCATTGTTGGTGGGATTGCAAGCTGGTACAAACACTCTGGAAATCAGTCTGGCAGTTCCTAAGAAAATTGGACATTGTATTACCTGAGGACTCAGCTATACCATTCCTGGGCATATCCCCAAAAACTTCTCCAACAAATAACAAGGACACATGCTCCATTCTCTTCATAGCATCCTTATTTATAATACCAAGAAACTGGAAAGAACCCAGATGTCCTTCAACAGAGGAATGGTTACAGAAAATGTGGTACAATTACACAATGGAGTACTACCCAGCTATAAAAAAACAATGATTACATGAAATTCTTAGGCAAATAGATGGAACTAGAAAATATCACCAGGCAGTGGTGGCGCATGTCTTTAATCCCAGCACTTGGGAGTCAGAGGCAGGTGGATTTCAGAGTTAGAGGCCAGCTTGGTCTACAGAGTGAGTTCCAGGACAGCCAGGGCTACACAGAGAAACCCTGTCTTGAAAAACCAAAAACATAAAACAAAAAACAAAAAAACAAAAACAACAAAAAAAAGAAAATATCATCCTTAATGAGGTAACCCAGTCACAAAAGAACACACATGGTATACACTCACTGATAAGTAAATATTAGCCCAAAAGCTTGGAATACCCAAGATACGATTCACAGATCAAATGAAGCTCAAGAAGTAGAAAGGCCTAAGTATGATTGCTTCAGTCCTTCTTAGAAAGTGGAACAAAATACTCATGGGAAATAGATTGTGGACGACACTTGGGAGGAAGAAAGGAGGGTGAGGGGAAAAGGGGGGGCAAAGTCAGCTATGAGAGGAGATTGGGATTATGTACATAGAATTTAATCAGAGGTAAGTAGAAATTATGGATGGTGAACTGGGGGTAGCCAGCAGCAAGTTCCAGATGCCAGGAAAGCAAGAGGCTCCCAGGACCCAATGGGGATGAAATTAGCTGAAATGGCCAATAAATGTTGGGAGAACCATTAAAGACCATATCCAGAGGTTAGGCAAGACCCCAAGTTGGAGAGGGGCCACCCATTCATCTCCTTATTTTTAATTCATAATAGTCCCTGTCTAAAAGAAATACAGAAACAAAGTGTGAATCAGAGACTGAAGGAAAGGCTATCCAGAGTCTGCCCCACATGGGGATCCATCCCATATTCAGACACCAAATCCAGACACTACTACTGATGCTAAGGAGTGCTTACTGACAAGAGCCTGTTATAGCTGTCTTCAGAGAGCCTCAACCCGAGCCTGATAAATACAGAGGCAGATGCTCACATCCAACCATTGAACTGAGCACAGGGGTCCCAATGGAGGAGTTAGAGAAAGGACTTAAGGAACAGATGATGCTTGCAACCCAACAGGAAGAACAACAATATCAACCAACCAGACCCCCAGAGCTCCCAAGGACTAAACCACCAAACAAGGAATATACATGGTGGGATCTATGGCTCCAGCTGCATGTGTAGCACAGCATTGCATTGTGTGGCATCAATTGGAGTAGAGGCCCTTGATCCTGTGAGGCTCCATCCCCTAGTGTATGGAAATGCCTGGGCAGTATGGCAGGAGTGGGTGGATATGTAGGATATGAGCACTCGCATAGAAGCAGGAGGAGGGGTGGATGGGATGGAGGTTTCCAGAGAGGAAACAGGGAAAAGGGATAACATTTGAAATTTAAATGAATAAAATATCCAATAAAAAGAAAAGAAAGAAAAAAAGTAGACTCTTAAAAAAAACAGAAATAATTTTTAAAAATGCATTTGTTTGGACACATTCATTTTCGTCCATAATTTAATATATAAAAATACCCGTGTGTTTATGTGTGCATGTGTGGGTGCATGTGCCTGTGTGTGTGTGTGTGTGTGTGTGTGTGTGTGTGTGTGTGTGTGTTTGATGTCTCTGTAAGATAGAGGAGGCAACCATAGGCATCAAGACCTAGTGGATCGATGGTAACTGCCTCTCAATCACTCTTCATTTTTCTGTTTTGAGAAAGGGTCTTCTGCCAAATGCAGAATTTTCCATTGTCTAGAATAGCTCATCAGAGATACACTTTGATTTGCTTTTCTTCATGCTCAAGTGCTGAAGTTATAGACAAGTTTGGCTGATCCTTGGTTTTATGTGAATTTTGAAACTTTAACTCTAGTTCCACTTATTCATGGCAAATAGTTTACAGAGATATCTCCCTTTCCTCAAAATAAATTTAATAAAAATAAAATAGACCAGAGAAGCACCTAAAGAAATGTTCATCATCCTTAGTCATCAGGGAAATGCAAAAACAAACAAACAAACAAACAAACAAACAAAAACCCCGAGATTCCACCTCATACCCGACGGTCAGAATGGCAAAAAAACAAAAACCCAGGTGACAGCAGATGCTGGTGAGGAAGTGGAGAAAGTACAAACACTCTGGAAATCAATCTGGCAGTTCCTCAGAAAACTGGACATTGTATTATCTGAGGACTCAGCTATATCACTCCTGGGCATATACCCAAAAGATTCTCCAACATTTAACAAGGACACATGCTCTGTTATGTTCATAGCAGCTTTATTTATAATAACCAGAATCTGGAAAGAACCCAGATGCCCTTCAACAGAGAAATGGATACAGAAAACATGTTAGAATTACACAATGGATTACTACTCAGCTATTAAAAAAAACAATGACTTCATGAAAGTTTTAGGCAAATAGGTGGAACTAGAAAATATCATCCTGACTGAGATAACCCAGTCATAAAAGAACACACATGGTATTCATTCACTGATAAGTAGATATTAGTCCAAAAGCTTGGAATACCCAAGATACAATTCACAAATCAATTGAAGGTCAAGAAGATCAAAGTGTGGTGCTTCTGTCTTTCTTAGAAAGGGAAAAAAAATAGTCAAGATAGAAAACACAGAGACAAAGTGTGGAGCAGAGACAAAAGGAAAGGTCATCCAAAGACTATCCCACCTAGGAATCCAGCCCATATACACTCATCAAACCCAGATAATATTGTGGATGCCTAGAAATGCATGATGACAGAAGCCTGATATAGTTATTTCCCTAGAGGGTCTGGCAGAGCCTGTTAAATACAGAGGCAGATGCTTGCAGCCAACCTTTGGACTGAGCACAGTGTCCCCAATGGAGAAGTTAGAGAGGACTGAATGAGATTAAAAGGGTTGCTAACCTATAGAAAAAGCAAAAAATATCAACCAACCAGACACCTCTCAGCTCCCAGGAACTAAACCACCAACCAAGTAGTACACATGGAACAACTTATGGCTTCAGCTGCATGTGTAGCAGAGGATGGCCGTGTTGGGCATCAATGGGAGAAGAGGCCCTTGGTCTAGAGATTGCTCCATGCCCCAGTATAGGGAAATTGGAAGGCAAGTAGTCAGGAATGGGTGGATAGGTGGGGAGCACTCTCATAAAAACAGGTGGAGGGGAGATGAGACAGGGATTTTCTGGAGTGGAAACAGGGAAAGGGGATAACATTTGAAATGTAAATAAAAAATAAAATAAAAATTTAAAAGACAGTTTTCACCCTCAGTTTGAATCAT